ATCTCGCCTGCGCTACGTGACAGTAGCAGCAATTGCAAAGGTAGGGGTGCGGGAGCGAATTTTGTTTATGCTGAAGGTATCTCTATCTATCCTGAAATGACAAGCGACTTCATCAAATGAACCACAATTCTTGTGTTACCCACCGTCTGATATGTGCGGAGCTTTCGCCACCTAGGGATCTCCATCTCCTCCCTGGTATCTCTCCGGTATTCTATTTTACTGTGTAATCAGGTATTTCATTTGAGAGATTGTTAGGAAGTAATCTCTGGGATAGGCATCACTAATGACACTTAATTACGATATTTTTGTGAAGAACATCACGTAGAAGCTCGCTCAGACTAAGCACAACTTGGGGCCGACAAAGGTGCCGGGGGCACACAGGCGAAGCTTGTGTGCTGTAGCCGCGGCTTGGTTTTGCCTCGGCATCCTGCAAACAAACCACATTCGGTCAATGAACAGTGGAAATCGTCTTTCACCCTACGATGTGCGCAGACGTGGTAAACTTTAGATTGTTGATTGAGTGACTCGAATCTGAACATGTGGATTTTTTGTAACAAACGCAACTTCGAATCTAAATTTATACGCAGCGCTCGTATTGGAATATTGTGCACGGTTTTCATTTTGCCGATTGACATATTGCTTCGAAGTTGTTTCAGTTCAATCTCATAAACAATACTGAAATAGGTAGTAATATTACCTTCAGAATGTCAGGAGGCAGCTATTTACACCACCCAATATGATCGACATATAATTAGAGAGTTAGCTACTGACATTCGATACATGTAGGCTACGCGGGCATAATTTTTCGGAGACACGTGTCGTGTGTCGTCTCAGGTATAGTCAGATATCGCGCTAAATAATGTAATTTACAGCGGGGCAATCTTTGCCATAGTTAAGCAACGTAAGGAAAGATTCAGCTAAGTGTGAACGCAGGCTGACGTATATCTAGTCATTTCGAGCAGAGTGTGATATGTGGCCTTTAAACGCTTCCAAATGGCAAATTTCAGTCTGAAACGGATCAAGATAGTATCGAAGCTGTTTATCGCAGATACAGAAGGTAAAACTTCCGCTCTACAACCAATTAGAACATCGTATTCAGTCCACTGAACGTCGGTCTACTGGACACTCTCTTCGATACAAAAGCCACCGATTAATACATTGAGCATGAAAAATATGGCCACAGGGAAGCGCTTCCATCAACGCGTCCACTTTAGCCTCTAAACATATGACACACAAGTTTTGACATTCACCATCAGCACATGACGCAATGCTCATTTGACTCTCGATGACACTTGCAGTTTCCTGGTTTCGACAACGCAGATACGCCGCCATTTTAGTTACATTCTGCTCCGCCAATCGTAACTTCCGTGCCAGTAATCCTTGCTTTCCACCCAGTAGCACCCTACTGCAGCTTCCTTGACTGTTCTTTTGCAATGATAGAGCTACAGCGTTTGCAATCTGCTGCGCCAAATTCTCCTTTACTGGGGCCTCAAGCCCGAGCGGTCGACGTCGATGTCGGCGGGTTCTGCCTGACTCCATGGTATTTAGATCAATAGTTTTGAAATTAGCTTTTTAAATCGAATAATAACGGCTAAATTTAACACAAGAAGGGAGAAATATCATGTATTGGATTCTGACGTTTTGACTCAGCTCCAGCGCTCTACTCTTCATCATTCGACTTGCGTTTTTTTGACAATTTATTCACCTTCTTCTTCTTCTTCTTGTCCTTCTTAGAGACCTTGTCACCACCTCCATTTTCTTCCTCGTCGTCTGATCCTTGGCCACTGAGCTCTTCGTCGCTTAAATCACTTAATTCGTCATTGGATGCATCGCCAGGGCCAAAGTCTGAATCTTCTTCGTCTTCATCATCTTCGATCTCACCCTCCTCGGGACCTAACTCCTCCAAATACTCATTAAAGTCACGCTTCTTCGAGCCTGCCTGCGCGCCAGCAGCATGAGACTCCTTTAAGTTTCGTATGCGCAACTTTTTAGACGTCAGAAACTGACTTAATTCCGGAAATTCGCGTCGGTCGATAGCCGAAAAGATGTATTCTCGTGCGGCCTCACCACCTACAGACTTGCAACTAACAAGCAGATCAAAATTTCGACTAGCTGAAGATCCACTTTGGCCAGCGTAACGCTGGAACTCAATGTATTCGATTTCCTCGTAGCGGATAAAGGTTGTGGGCTTGTGGATGAACATGAAAGACTTTTCTAGTGGAAAAAGTACGCCACTCTGTGCTTTGACGGCGCACTTGACAGCACGATCACCGCTATGAGTCTTGAATTTACCTGACGTGTACACCTTTTTTCCAATAATAAATTTGAATAGCGTAGCGACAATTTGAGGCAGCGCGCCAGACATACGTTCATGAATGTTTCCATTGTATTTCTTGATCTCTTCCGATGACATGTTGACGTCAATATGTACGTCGTTCTTGCTTAGTTGTAGCACAAGATGAGGATATCCTTGCTTGCCCTGTCGAATAGGCTCCTCAAGACTAATGACAAAGGCCGTGTTGATACCATTAGGCAGCTCAAGCAGAAAGCAGCGATTGATGTTCGAATACATGATTTTGTAGTCAAATGTCTTACCGTGCATACGCAAGAATGATCCATAAATCTCGACACCGTAACGACCACGAGGAGTGAGAAAGGTACCAATAGTTTCGTCGAGGTCTACAATACTCTTTCCCATGACACTACGGATATTAGCTTTTTCCAGTACTTCCTGACGGAATTCCTCCGCCGACACGACCTCGTCTTCTCCGTCCCCTGGAGGTAGGTAAAGTCTCATCTCGACGAGTGTTTCCTCATCTCCAGCCACAGTGTCATCCTCATGAAATTGCAGCTCCACTTCATGCTTACCGGGAAGTGCACACTGAGAAATTTGCTCAAGCGGCAATTCCATGACACTAGCATTAGCCGTGCGAAAATTAAGGTTCGGACCTTCAAATTTCATGTCGCCCCAATTGCCACCATCTGCTGCTACTTTCTCTTGCTCCAACTCTCGGTCAAAATACCTCTCCACGTGACTTTTTAGCTGTGAAACATCTTCAGCTTTAAGTCCCGTGAAGCGCACATACTTGCCACCTTTCTGGTAGACTTTAAGATGGTGCGTCTTGGGACCCACGGGCGTCCATAGCAGCGTCACAATATCATCTCTTAGCAACTTCTTCTGGCTTTCGGTTGTACGACTGCGCCACAAGAGACCAGATGCCGATAGCACTAGCACACCAGCACTGTGGCCCCAAAACACATTGCTTAACGTCGTATCAGACATTCAATAGTAAGTGGAGCGCTAGCGCTTATCAGTTCCGCAACTTATTAATATAGCTTTAAGCAACGTAGCAACTTTTGTATTTAATAATTTTAAAATGGCATAAAACACCAATTAAATTGTCAAGTGATGCCATAATGAAATGATCACATCGATAGACACGGTTATAGGTAGACGCAAATCAACTTGGGCCATGCCGCTCACTACACTCAAGGATAAATGCTCCCATTATAGATGAAGAGCACATTGTCTCTCACCCCCTTAGATTTTTACTATGCTCTTTTTCGAACACTTACACAAGAAGCTACTTGACGATTGTTCTGGCTATCCGTGAAATTTTGACGTTTTGCGCGGTTGCCATTTCACTCGGTGTTGCTGGCTTGGCTGCACTGTCGGACAAAAGTGCCTAAAGAGCACCTTCCAACAGTAATTGCCATAGATACCACAGATGTCTTAGCCTTATACCGCTCCATGGCATTTGAAGTATTAGTGACTTTGTATGTTTGGTAGTCATCAAAATCAATATTAAAATCAAGAAGGGAATTCATTCCGTTCCTTTTCTATTTTACAGCAATCCAACATCGTTTGCTATTTCGTATGCCCCAGTTCCTGGATTTTCCAATTGCTTGGAATTTGGAGAGAGTCTGCCAGCTACTTGACATCGATACTACATTCTTAAAATATGTTGTTATCAAATTGAAGCTTTACAATGAAATCAATCAAACTCATGGCTGATTGTCGCTGTATATATGATATGAAAAAATATAATCACGATGAGTTTTCAATTCTTTGTTGTCCAGCATTCGTTGAAATTCAAAAATGTCGATTGTTTCTGTGCTTTTCTGTGATTCAATATGGGCTTATAGAAATATCGATCACCAGATTCACATTAGATGCTTTCTTTGAATTCGTCGGCGTTTTTTTCGCAACAAGGTCTCGATTTTTAACTTTTTATCTCTATCGTTGTTTATTATTGTGTACTATAAGATTGTAATGGACGGTGGTTTTGATCATGTTTTGTGGGATGCTCTATGATAGATTCATCAGCCATTATCAAACCATGATCAGTCACGAAGCAGCTATACTCCAAAACCCCTCAACATGTGCAAATGGTGCGTTTTAAGCTACAGACAGCAAAATTAGCAGCTGACTCCGTCGGCAGATACGTGCGCCCAAAGCTCTCCTCTTGGAGATAACGATTTGATGGTTGCGAGTATTTTGTACATCGAGGGCAAAACATGATTAATAACACCGCCGTTTTGGGACGAGCATTACTTTTTATTATTACTTATTGCGTGTTTCGACGACTTCAAGTAGACGTTTTCGATTGTTTCGGTTGGGCTGGAAAACCCAGTCGACACCACCATCTCGGTAATTAACCTTGACACATCCAATGTCTGGATTCGCCCATTCCTTACAATCGCTTGCCAGCTTCATACAAAAAAGCAGCACGACCTCATAGTGCCATTTCTGGTTCAGTCCATGAATGATCGCTCTCATTGCAGATATATCCACATTCTTGTTCCAGTATTTGCACTCACAAAGGAAAATCGCTTTTTTGTGCTCAATCTCCACATCTTGAATGTACACATCACATCTTTCCGCATTGCAAGCTCGAACCAAATGGCCAAATATGCAACCATTGCGATTGTTATCAATAATGAATGGCGGCCACTCTGAACGGGAATATCTGGTGCAAAGAAAATACACTTTTTGACAAGCGTAGAGTTTATTTTCTCGCATACCTTTAAACATCGGCTTCAGACTTCTCACCCGTTTTCTTACTGTGAACGAATACATCGTCAAAGTAACTCAGTGTAAACGCTCTCAATGAACGAAGAAGATTCGTTACCACTCTGTTGGAAGTCGCAAGAGCGTCATTTAAACCTTGTGGCATCACTAAGTATTCCCACAGCATACGACAAACGATCGCACAGAGAATAGCTTTGAACGCTCGACTGAGGATCTGAGCCGAAAGTTTCTTTGGTAATTGCGTGTCTTACGACTTCCGTACAATCGTAATCTAGGACATTGTACAATTGCACGGAACACTCAGGACTACCTTCTCATGCAGACGATGAGACTCCGTAAAGGAGATGACTGTTGTGGATTACTAACTGCAGTTCGTAGTTAATCATTTTTGCGCATTCGTATCTAATAGATACCATCTTTCAGATCGATTGCACTGAAAATAGTACTGCCAGCCTTCCATCAAGAATCATAGTCTTGCGTGGAACAGGAGTCTGGGCAGGTAGATCACCTCGCTCAATTTGTTGATAGTGTAAACGATGCGCCAATCACATGTGGCTTTCTTCAATTAGAAGGTCAGACTACAATGCAAATACTTGCTCACACGCATATGACCAGCCTTCTGTCGCTGCACAAAGAACCCGTCAATTGCAATGGATTGTTCTTTGGCAACGGCCACTGCCGTGTGATACAATACTTCATACCAGGAAGTATGTCAATCTCATTACGAATGCCTCTGTCAGATGGCAATTCGTCCGGTTGTGTCAGCATATTGCTTGACAAGTCCATACACGACTTTGCTCATCAACGGCAAGAAATACAATTCTTTGACTGGTTCTGGTAGATTTTTTTATCTTCACGCGACGGATAACATTGACGTAAGCTTCTTCGTAGCGATGAAAGTGTCAGACAAAGCGCAACTTTGATTGCCCAAGAATTTTTTAAGATGGTTTTGAGAAACCACAACAAGCTTTGATTGATACTGGTGCGTCGAACAACTTTGTTTAAGCTAAAGTTATGACTGGGAATGGATTCGCCTGTCAAATGTGAAAGAAGAAATGACCATTCGTTTAGCGAATGCATTTAAAATGAGGATGCCAAAGCAAGTCATTTGCTTGGCTATGAAACTTGAGGAGTTTCGAGGTAAAGACGAATTTATCTTACTCGGCCTCGATGATAAGTTGGATGGCTTTTTAGGCATGCCATGGTTTAGATGTTATCAGCCTAGCATGACAGGATGATTGTGGAATGCGTCGTCAACAAGTCGCAAAGCACTATTGCGAGCTGTGTGAAGACGACATAAATGGTACGAGCAAATAAATTAGTTGAAGAAGTCACAGATGTCCCAAGTGATAGTGTGGTGTGCGATTGCCCCCCATGTTCAGAGGACAAGCCCAAGAAGACGAAAGTACAGACACCAACTGGAGATGCAGCAAGAAGAATATTGTCTCCTCTTTCATCGACATGGAGGTCACGATCGATGGTTGTATAAAGTACAGTGGAATCAGAGGCAACGGCACAATCCGAGACAAAAATAGGAAGGCCACCAAAAAGACCCCTGAGGTACAAGTTGTGATGATGAAGGGAGTGTTCGAGAACAAGACATTTCAAGCGAGTTTATAAATATTGCGGCCTACTCATAGTGGAAACTGCATGTGCATTATACACGTTGGGGACAGAGTTTTGTGTATCCACAACATCCACAGTACTCTTCTCGGGCCCAGTAGCAGGCCCCGTCCCTACTAGTCGTTCCCGTTTGTTACCGCTGGAAGCGTTCGAATCGACGACCTCTGGGGCTTTATACGAACGATTGTAGAGTGTCTTTGTCGAGTCGGCGCCCTGTGTCAGTTGCCGACTCGACAAAGACACTCTACAATTCCGGGCAATATGACCCGCCTTTCCACAACGGAAACACTTTCCATCGTTGTGAGGACGCTTATTTCCAGAAGTAAAGATGTACGAGATGTCTATTAGCTTTGGACCATCGCATGTACCGGTTGCATGGCGCGCTTGCCTTGGTACGAAGCCATTGATTTTGGCTTGCATGATGCTGAACTCTTCTTGCATCGCATGGTTGATGGCATCACCCAGCGTCTTGAGATACTTACGAAGCAACTGATTCTGAATTGGAGCATCAGCGCCTGCAAATTACGTTACAACTTGCGTTAAAACCTCAATTGGCTCGTCGACAATGCTCTATACCAAGCAGCGAGCACGCTGTGCCTTTGAGTGTAGGTCGTAACGACCTTACAAAGCTTCAAGAAATCGGCACGCACGGAATTCCTATGTGGTGGTTCAATTGCCTTCTTTAGCTCGACTTTGACGTGTTCGTAGCTGGAATAGCAGTTTATAATGGCTAAACGCTTCCCATACGCCCAACATTTTGCACGAATCACAAGGTTTGACATCGTGAAAAACAGTTGCTGCAAGTTCTCGCAGTTGTCTTGCGGTGATTGCTGCATTCAACTTGACAAACACTGTGAGAGAGGCTTGTCCTCACTTCAACGATACAAATCACGCCCAGTTTCCAGAGGCATCGTTCTGTATGAAGAAACAAGGATTGCGAACTGCTTCCTAGATCCAAAATCTCATGATGTATGAAACCAGCTGCAGTGTTCTTCTGGCCATCCGGAGAAGCCATCTGCAGTAAGCTGACTACTGTAGCTTCTCCGAAGACTTGTTGCATCCACTCGAGTGCCAAACACTCATTTTAAGGCAAATGAGGTAATATCACGTTCGTCAACACTTCAGTTTATTGAGTGGAACCCCAGCTCCTTCCATGTCGCTCGGACAAGGATAAGAGTATGAATTGGGCTGATATGCACGACGTGCTCAACAGCCGCATCAGAAAACCAAATCGAGTGTCGCTGAAAAGATCACCCGAAGAGCTAGCAGGTGTAAGTGGGTGCTGTTCACAAACAGTTCCTCAAACACTACACACACTTGCGCGACGAGAAATTGGTGACGTGGAGGGAGAAAGACAGAGGGAAGAAGAGCAATTCAATCCCTTTTAAAATCATTTGCGGCTGAAATAACATGATTCATGGTTCTTAGCTACATGCAAAATACCCCAAGGTCTCCTAGAGGTTTTATTGATAAAACCTTGGCAGCATGATTTATAAACCAGGGCTGTACTGAGGTTAAAACTCAGATCTCACTATTACAAGATCTTGGGTATACGGAGCTTGAACTTCGAAAGCTTGAACTTTGAAAGCTTGAATTTTAAAGTATCCAGTATAAGTGACTGGATTACG